TTGTTGTCGTTACTGAGACTGTCCGACGGCTGCTGGTACTGTCCATTCATCCTGCTCTCTTTGCTGCAACAAACAAAGCAAAACTCAACATCAACAAACTAATTAACCGAAGCAGAGATTTTCAACCTTTTCCATCTCATGGCACATCAACTAATTACTTAAAATCCAGCAGCACACCAAAAATATATATATTTTGCCGATTTGACCCCCCACCCCCCAAAAAAGCTGTAATTTTGATTCATTTGCACTGCACTGCTATTGTTGCGTTGGCTGTTGTCATTTCTTAATTTGACGACCTAGGGGAGAAGAGGTCAGTGCCCTGACTAAATGGCCAGGCACTTTGTGTTCTGAAAACTCTTATGGCACAGCGGTTGAAAATCACTAAACTGAAGAGACGCATGGCTTAGATAGTAACAGTCACCTTCCTGGGCCCCCACGCCAGACGCAGTGCGGGACCCATTTTATACACACTTTCTAGTTCTTCCACCGGGACCGGCCGGTGACGCGAATGCAGAGCACACCTGCTCTGAGGCGGGGCTGCCAGGTCTCCCTGGTCAGCACACCTCCTGCCAAGGGGTGAAATCATCGGGCCCTGCCAACTTGCTTTCAGCCACCAAGCCTGGAGCCGTTTGTTACAGTGGCTCCAGGAAACCAGCATGTGGCCAATCTATTAGTGTCACACTCTTTTTGGAGGATAAATCTCAAGTGCTCTATAATATTGATTTGAAAACAAGAAAAATGGAATCTACAGCTGCAAACTCAATTATGTTTATCTGTATCCAAAACCAACTCCATCAGCTAAAATGCTGCCTTCTTGCTGTGATGCCACCTTGACCAGGAATGGCTGGGGAAAACCCAAAGCAAAAGGGCATCTTAGAAAACATAACTCATTAAACACAAGGTGCCTTGGGGCAGGAGCTTGGTTAGAGCATTGTCCGCTATGATACACCAAGGCTGTGGGTTTGGTCCCCGGTCAGCGCACATACATAAATAAGTGGAACAGCAAATCGATGTTTCTATCTCTCTCCCTTCCTCACTCTACAATCAAGAAATAAAAATTTACAAATAAACTAAAATGTGTCTTGGGTAAGATCAGGATAGTAACTTGGCTTTAGCAGTTATGGTTGTGCCAACACCTACAATGGTCTCAGCACAGACCCAGTGCCAATCGCTGACCCGACAAAGCCACAGCCTCCCGACAACAAGGCACTGCAGAACCCCCATACCTGGACGCCATGAACGGGGTCATGTCCAGCTCCAGGGGAAAGGACACGTATGTGGTAATCTTCCGCCGCAGTTTGGCTGAGTGTTCAAATCGCTAAGAAAGTGGGGGAGAGGGGAGAGGAGTGAGTTACTCTGAGCACACCCCACAGGTGCTTTTTGCTCTCATTGCCTCTGGGAGGCTCAATAAAACGTCTACATAAATTTAAATTATGGGGTTCCAGGCAAGTCTTGAAATGAAGTTCAAAGTGATAAACCCAAAGTGATAAAAAAGTAACCTTACGATAAACCCAACAGCGTGCAAGGGAAGAAGCCTTTGGAAGCAAGACAAGCACACGTTCCTTTCACACGGCACCAGGCATCCCTTTGACAACATCAGGCGCCACCAAACCCAGCAAGGAAGCTAGGAATCGTTTTCTGTTTTGCTTTTTAACATTTTTAAAGGGTCATAAAATAAAACAAAGACTATGAAACAGAGATCACATGGCTGCAAGCCCTAAAAGCTTCCTAGCTGACCCTTTACAGAAAGCTCTTGCTGGCCCCTGGACTAGATCACAATGCTAAGGGACTTTGCTGCTTTTAAAGTAAAAGAAAAATAGAAAACTTGGGGCGAGGATGGAAGAACTCAGGCAGGAGGAGTGGAACCTTCACAACCCAGCCCCCGCAGCGCACTCCCGCCCTCTTCCCATGGCGCAGGAGCCACGTCCTGTTCACCAGGCCTCTCCTGCCAGAGAACAGGGACAGGGGACAGCCTGGCACCTCGCTCGCCGGCAGCCCTCCTGTGGAGCCAGGCAATGACCACATGTGCTCGGTGCCCAGACCACAGGCCCCACGCTGCCCTAGGGACTAAGCATTCAGTCGGCTACGAAAAGTTTTCCGGAAAACTTACTTTGAGATGAAAACAGGCGACAATTGGCAGTTTCTTCATGGTGAGCTGTTTAGTGGACTCCTGATAGCTATGGCAACCGCTACATTTGATCTTGGCACTGCTTCCTAAGTGCTCTGGTCTGGTAAATCTACAAGGCATTTAAAAAAATGTACTTTTAAGAAAAAATATGGAAGAGTTAAAAGACAGAAAAATTATTTTGTCACTTTCAATGGATTCATTTCCCTAGTAAAAACATACATACATTCATACATCTGTCACCTTCTCCCTGTATCACTTTAAAAAAATGCTTACCTTTATAGCTGAATGGGTAATAAAACAAGAACCATATGAAGGCTACAAGAGACCCACCTCATACCAAAAGGTACACACAGACTAATAGTAAAGAGATGGAAAAAGATAATTCAGGCATATGGAAAACAGAAAAAAAGCTGGGGTAGCAATACTTAGATAAAAAATATTTTAAAACAAGGGTGATAATAAGAGACAAGAAAGATATTAATTACATAATGATAAGGGGAGCAATCCAACAAGAGGATACCCTTGTAAACATTTATGCATCCAACATAGGAACACCTAAATATGTAAAGCAAATCTTGATGGACATAAAGGGGGAGACTGACACTAATCCAGTCACAGTAGGAGAGTTTAACACCCCTTAACATCTATGGATAGAACTTCCAGACAGCAAATCAACCAGGAGATGGCAGCCTTAAATGACACACTAGAGCAGATGGACTTAATTGTTATCTTCAGAGCATTTCACCCCAAAGCAAGAGAATATACATTCTTTAAAAGAGGACATGTTAGGATAGAGCACAAAACAAGTTAAGATACAAAACAAGTCTCAATAAATTTAAGAAAACTGAAATCATAGCAAGCACCTTCTCTAGACCATAATGCTAGGACACTAGAAATCAATTGCAAGAAGATTGAAAAACACACAAAGACATGGAGGTTAAATAACATGTTAGTAAACAATGAATGGGTCAACAATGAGATCACGGAAGAAATCAAAAGATACCTTGAAACAAACAACCTAAAATCTATGGGACACAGCAAAAGCAGTCCCAGGAGGAAAATTCATAGTATCCTCAAGAAACAAGAAAAGTCTCAATTAATCTAACTTTGCACTTAAAGGAACTAGAAAAATAAAAAACAAAGCCCAACGTGAAAATAAGAAAGGAAATAACAAAATCAGAGCAGAAATAAGTCTAAAAACAATACTAAAAAAAAAAAAAATTAAAAAAAAATAAATGAAACCAAGAGCTGGTTCTTTGAACAGATAAACAAGATTGGCAAGCCTTTAACCAAACTCATCAAGGAAAAAAAAAAGAGGGCCCAAATAAATAAAATCAGAAATAAAAGAGGCAAAGTAACAACTGACACCGAGGAAATACAAAGGATTGTAAAAAAATATTACAAACAACTGTATGCCAACAAATTGGACAATCTGGATGAAACATACAATCTTCCAAAACTAAGTCAAGAAGAATGGAAAAATGTAAACAGATGACAATGACTGAGATTGAAGCAGTAATAAAAAGACTCCTGCCCTAGCCGATGTGGCTCGTGCATAGAAGGTCATGGGCTCTATCCCCGGTCAGGGTGCCTGCATGAGGCAACCCATCAAATGTTTCTCTCTCTCCCTTTCCCTTCCTCTCTCTCTAACATCTGTAGAAGCATGTCTTTGGGTGAGGATTAAAACAAGCAAACAAACAAAAAACTTCCCAACAAAAAAAAGTCCTGGACTGAATAGCTTCACAAGTGAGTCAGGAATCAAGAAATGTCTCCTTCAAGAGAAGGGAAGACTCCCAAGCTCATTATACAAGATCAGCCTTATCCTAATTCCAAAACCACAAAGAAAGAAAAGAATAAGCCAATATCCCTGATGAACATGGATGCCAAAATCTTCAACAAAATATTAGCAAATCAGATCCAGCAACACATTAACAAGATTATACACCACAATCAAGTGGGATTTATTCCAGGAATGCAAGGTTGGTTCAATATCTGCAAATCAATAAGCATAATATACCACATAAATAAAATGAAGGATAAAATTCATATCAATAGATGCAGAAAAAGCATTTGATAAAACCCAGCACCTATTTATGATAAAAATTCTCAACCAAGTGGAAATAGAGGGATCATACTTCAACATAATAAAGGCCATATATGACCACCTACATCATACTTAACAGGCAAAAGCTAAAAGTGTTTCCATTAAGTTCACAAACAAGATAGGGGAGTATGGTTTCAGCACTCTTATTTCAACATAGTACTGGAAGTCCAAACCACAGCAATCAGACAAGAAGAAAAAATAGCCCTGGTGGGTGTGGCTTAGTTGGTTGAGCATCGTCCCATACACCGATCAGGGTACATGCCCAGGTTGTGAGCTTAATTCCCAGTAAGGGTCATGCAAGAGGCAGCCAATCAATGTTTCTCCCTCTCCCTCTAAAATCAATAAAAACATTT